CATGAACCCGGGAGGCGGAGCTTGCAGTGAGCCCAGATCGTGCCACTGCACTCCAGCCTGGGCGACAGAGCGAGACTCCGTCTCAAAAAAAACAAAAACAAAAACAAAACAGCATACTCAAAGCACTTAGCACAATGCTTACTTACAGGCATGCTCATTCAAAGAATTCCCTTACACCAACCTTCTACTATAGAACTGAACACTGGCTCAATACAGTGAAATCTGTGATCCAGATTAAGAGGAAAGGAAGAGAAAGGAAGCCCTTCATCCTTCCTTTCTAGCTCTCTATAAACCGTGGCCTTTTCTCCCACCCACACAGCTCTGTTCTTTGCTTCCTAGCAGCTATAAATTTGACTCAGTAGACTTATTTCTAGAACCCCTGAACCCTTGTAGTCATGACCCACGGATGTGGTTCCAAGAAACTAAAAAAAACCCATGCCTCAAAGAGAAATCCTACCATCTCCTTCTCCTCTGCCCCTGTGGTATCCACCTCCCCAGCTGGCCCTACTGCCTACTCAGACAGTTTCTCCCTCATTCAGGGGTTCCCACTGCTGCAGCTTCCTCAGCCTCAGCAACTGCCATCAACATTAGTGTTTCTCCATTTAAAGAGAGTCTGGCATCAAACATTAAAGAGGCTGAGCAGCATTCTGCAAAATAACTGAACAGTACCCTTCAAAATTGTCAATGTCATAAAAGACAAAGATCAAGGAACTGTCATATACTGAAGGTGACCAGAGAGACATAAAAAATAAAAAATGAAAATATGGGATCTTGAGTAGGATCTTCACCCAAAAAAAGGACATTAGTGGGAAAACAGGTGAAATTTGAATAAGGTCTATAGATTAGACCTAATAATATTCTACTGATGTACTGGTTTCAGTAATTGAACCATGGTTCTATATAATGTTAACATTAGGGGATTTATGGGAACTCTCTATACTATTTTTGCAACTTTTCTTCAAAACAAATAAAAGTAAAATGAAGTTAAAACAATTTTAAATGTGATTATTTAGGACTTTATTATGAAAGAACCTCTGTCCCAATGGACTTGTTAAGTGATATATTATTGTGAAAGAGTGCAACTTATGTGAGCCAGGAAGGCCATCACACAGGTTAATGAAAAGTCAATTCCAAGGTATAGAAAATCCTCCTTAATCACCACTATGAGTTTGTAAATCACTAAGAGAGTATGATGCCACCTACATATACTGAGGACTTGATGACAGCAAATCATATTTTGTGCAATCAGTAATGTTATTAAGTAAATATAGCTACTGAATAACATACTTAAACAATAACTCCACTGTGACCAATTTTTACAAGAAAGAGACAGTGAAAAATAAGAAATATATGCAAAAAAATAATATGCACCGACCTCCCTCTGCCAGACATCCCACACTATAGGAAACAACACTGGTCAACCAACTCTGAACAAAACCCCTTCCAATAGAAAGGACAGTCTGCTTTGCTATAGTGTGTGTTTCTGCAACATGAATTAATATAGACAACTGGTAAATGGAGAAAAGATTTCAGTATAATGCAGAAGTTACATTGGTTCATATGTAATTTTTTCCCCAGATCATTAATGTTTTGCTTCATTAGTAAAGGCAACTGAAGGCTATGTATACTAATGGGAGCAAACCAGGAAGCAATCAGTATTATACATTCAACCTTTCTCTTAGAAGTGCTATTGCAAAGTTAACCCTGATCTTTGTTTATAAATAAATAAATAAAACAAAGTAACACAGAACAATGAGGAGAGCATACAACTCTGGTATCAGAACATTTTGTACAAAGCTTACAAGCTTTTCTCTGTTTATGACTTCTGATGATAATGTCTTTCTGCCCTTGTATCCATAGACAGCCTCTACCCTTCCTTATACCACCTACCACTAAGCTGTCGCCACCTTTTATGTTTTAAGTAAAATACTACTTTTACTGCCGTTTAATTATTAGAAACTTTATGTCTTATAAACTGTGTTAGTATTTTTATTGAGATTGTTATTGTTTTCATCAGTGCTCTGGTTATAAAGTTGAATAAGCCCTACTGATTTAAGAATTTGCAAACTGCAAATTTTCCAGAAAAGCATAAATATTATAGTAGAAATGTTGTATTCCCACACATTCTGAATACACTGTCTCAAGATTTTTTTAATATAAAAAGGTTATACTTTTTTAATATAAGAAGGTTTTCAAAGATTACTTATCAATGAAGTATACTGTTAATATCAATTTCTAAACAAAATTACAAAGTATATTTTACAATTAGCTTTAAATTGAACATTTTAATGCACATTTCTGTATTCGTCACACATTTCTTAAATAGGATGCTCCAATGTAGTAACAAAAATTATCATCTATGTTAAAACCAAACTGATGCATTGTGTAAGAAAAGCAAATATTCAATATTTGACATAAATTAAATGTGTATTATGAACTGTGATCAAATCAACATCAATCTTCTAAAATGAAGCAGTTTCTAACTTGTATGAAAATACACAGATATAGGCTAGAAAGCATTTTTGCTTATAAGACTAAAAAGATACTTTTTTTTAGACAGGGTCTCACTGTCACCCAGGCTGGAGTGCAGTGGCACAATCACAGAGTACTGCAGCCTCGACCTCCCAGGCTCAATCAATCTTCCTACCTCAGCCTCCCAGGTAGCTAGAACTATAGGCCCACATCACTAAACCCAGCCAATGTTTGTATTTTTTGTAGAAACAGGGTTTCACCATGTTGCCCGAGCTGGTCTCAAACTCCTGGGCTCAAGGGATCCACATACCTTGGCATCCCAAAGTGCCAGGATTACAGGCCTGAGCCACTTGACCCTGACCTAAAAAAAGACTTTAAATAATGCTAAGGAAGAATTTAGCATCAGATTTTTTGTTTCTTTCTCAAAGTAACAATATTGCTTCATGATCATCTGTTGTTAAATATGTAATACTAGTAACTAAGCATTCTTTTATGTAAATGGCTCCTCCTAAAAACAAGCACGTGAAAGTTTGTGTTATTTGTACATGACAAAGATATAGCACATAACTGAGTCACTAAAAACACAGTCTGGGCCGGGGTCGGTGGCTCACACCTGTAATCCGAGCACTTTGGGAGGCCGAGGTGGGCGGATCACAAGGTCAGGAGATCGAGACCATCCTTGCTAACACGGATGGTCTCGTGAAACCACCATCACCATCACGGTCGGGTGAAACCCGTTTCTACTAAAAATACAAAAAATTAGCTAGGCATGGTGGCGGGTGCCTGTAGTCCCAGCTACTCGGGAGGCTGAGGCAGGAGAATGGTCTGAACCCAGGAGGCGGGGCTTGCAATGAGCCGAGGTCACACCACTGCACTCCAGCCTGGGCAACAGAGTGAGACTCTGTCTCCAGAAAAAAAATACAGTTCAACTGGAATAGCCATAATTTATATATCAATCCCAATTTGAATAGAATATTTTTGAAGTTAATGTATATAATAAATATCAATCACTATGAATATTTACATAAAAGAGTAATGTGCTCTTTTTAATATACTCCATGATATGGCAGGGTACTTTTATGAACCCATGCAACCTTGAATATCAAGGAGCCTTGTTTTATTTTTCAATTATCTATTCAAGTCCACTTGGTTAGAGATAGTGAGCATGTTTCTCACAGGGAAAAAAAATACTGCACAATTGTCTGTGTATAGTGTGACCTCTTTCACTTGGGTGGGTATCCTTTCCATCACCAACTAAGTGAGGATGTAACCTTGTCAAACCAAAGGCAAAAGAATAATGAGCATATGACAGGCTAACCCAGCATGGAAAAGGTTGTTCAGGAGGTTGCAAAAATAGTACTCTGAATGACAAAATAAAAGTACACTTCAAAGAGCAGGTTAATATTTTTAAAAGCACTCAAAACCTGAGAAGCATTTAATCCCCCTCCTTGGATGTCTGCCATACAGAACTCCACTTGAATTTATTTCATTAGTCACTAACCAGAGTTGGTTAATATATCTTCAAATGAATACTGGTAGAATAGTCTTGAAAGAAACACATTTATAGAATATCTGTTTCCACAAAGCACTAGCCGAAGTTAAGTACAAATAAGCAGACAATGTCGTGCTTTTACCAAACAATTTTAAGTTACCATCTAACAAGAAAAAAATCCTTCCAATTCAAGAATCAGAAATACAAATGAGAAAGGTATTTACCCAGTAGCAGGTTTTTACTGTAGCCAAATCAAATGGCAGTAACACTGCTACATTAATTGTTTCCCCTAACTGGCATAACAGGGAATCATACTATAACATTTTTATAAGTATTTGAAACCAGAAGAAATTAGACAAGTTTGGCTGCAGTCTTCCTAGTGTAAATTTACTTTTAAAGCAAACAAACAAAAATCTCCAACCATTTAAGCATGTCCTAGGACTACGTATTATATCATTTTATCAGTTATGCACACTTTGACATTCCTTTTCTACATTAAGACCGGAATGAAATTTTTGATCCTGACCAGTCACAATATTGTAACAGTGAAACAGTGCCACCTTTTGGCCCCAAACAGAAGCATCCAGTACTAGTCTTTCAAACTTCCTTTTTCAGTTAAACTCCTGATGTACATAAATGTCAATGATTCCCATATCATAATTATCACCTTCTAGGGATACTTTTTATCTATACAAACCAAGAAAATATTGGGGTAACAAGAAAGTTGCTTACCAAAATGCAAAATTTCAAAATATTCCAAAGTAATACTAAATGCATGTATTTTTAATAATTTCTAATCAACATTAAATACATTTTACCCAATCCAAATATGTTAGTCAGTTAACATATTTTAAACACAAAAAATTCTTTTTAGAGCACTGTTACACTGCAAAATTGATTTTTTAAAAACACATTATATTTAACATGTATTCAATTTAATAATTGGCAGTATGATATTAACAATGGATTACCATTTCAATCAGCATAAGTATAAATAATTTTATATACAAATATAGTATGCTTCTGAGTTACTTACACCAATGATACAATGTCACCACGGTGTACTTCAAAATTCCTCACTTTCCAGTGGTTCAAAAGCACCACATCAGATGACTGGCTCCCCCCAGGATTCAAAGAAGGCTAGAAAATAAGGAGAAAGAGACACATCTATCATTTGTATTTTTCAATCTTCATGGTTCTTGCACTTCATAGCTTGAGTGGAGTGAAATAAAACATTTCTAATACAGTACCTTTCTATAAATTGCTGTTCTAAAGTAACTGCAAATGATGAGTTTTCAAAAAGGCTCATTGGGATTCTTCACAGATGAACCAGAAAAAAATAAATTGCCAATACTTATTTGAAAGGAACATGTGCTAGACATTAAAATCTTTAGTAAACTCCAGTAAAGAGGTATGAAAAGCCTTAAGAATAATATAAAAACATGAGGAAGAAGTGAGTCAAACCTCCCAACAAAATATCCAGATAGCATATAATTCCACAGTAGTACACATCACTGTTCCATCTCGGGAAAAGAAGAAATAATCCCAAATCACAGTCATATCCACAAATCTTCACAGTCATATGAAGAACTGAAGAGGGCAAAAGAAAGATGTGATAGAATTATCATTATTAAATGTATGGATTTCCCAATTTGACCTCTCTTTTCTCAAAAGGGCACATGTCCTACGGGTCCTGGTCCCAGTTTGAGCCTAATAACGGGCTTTCATCCTAGGATTCAGAGAAGTCTAACTGTGCCTGAGGATTAATGGATCAAGAACTGAGAAACATTTTGTGTAAGAATTTTTCTGAAGGTCAGGAACCATACAGGAACAAAAATTTGATTGGGGAACTGTGAAACCAGCATACCTGTCATTTGGACAGGGGTACAGACAAATCCAATGAACAACAAGCTTGAGGCAAGAACAGGGGGACAAAATAATTAGAAGAGCTAAGACAGCCTTTGCACTGTTTTTTAATTCTTTTTCATTTTTTATTTCAATAGGTTTTGTAAGAAAAGGGGTGTTCGGTTACATGAATTAAGTTCTTCAGTAGTGATTTCTGAGATTCTGGTGCACCTATCACCCGAGCATTGTACACTGTACCCAATGTGTAGGCTTTTATCTCTCACCACCACCCACATTTTCCCCCGAGTCCCCAAAGTCCAATGTATCATTCTTATGCCTTTGTGCCCTCATAGTTTAGCTCCCACATATCAGTGAGAACATACAATGTTTGGTTTTCCATTCATGACTTACTTCACTTAGAATAATAGTCTCCAGTTCCATTCAGATTGCTGTGAATAACATTATTTCGTTCCTTTTTATGGCTGAGTAATATATATGTGTGTGTGTGTATACATATATATACACACACACCACATTTTCTTTATCCACTCGTTGACTGATGGGCATTTGGGCTGGTTCCATATTTTTGCAACTGTAAATTATGCTGCTATAAACATGTGTGTGCAAGCACACATCTTTTTCATATAATGAGTTATTTTCCTCGGGGTAGATACCTAGTATTGCTAAGGATTGCTAGATCAAATGGTAGATCTACTTTAGTTATTTAAGGAACCTCTTTACACTGCCACCAACATTGTAAAAGTGTTTCCTTTTCACCACATCCACACCAACATCTATTTTTTTTTTATTTTTTGATTATGGCCATTCTTGCAGGAGTGAAGTAGTACTGCATTGTGCTTTTGATTTGCATTTCCCTGATAATTAAAGATGATGAGGATTTTTTCATATGCTTTTTGGCCATTTGTATATCTTTTCTTGAGAACTGTCTATTCATGTCCTCAGCCCACATTTTTTTTGTTGTTTTTTTGTTTGTTTGTTTGTTTTTTGAGATGGAGTCTCATACCATCGCCCAGGCTGGAGTGCACTGGAGCGACCTCAGCTCACTGCAAGGTCCATCTCCTGGGTTCATGCCATTCTCCTGCCTCAGCCTACTGAGTAGCTGGGACTACAGGCGCCCACCACCACGCCCAGCTAATTTTTTGTATTTTAGTAAAGATGGGATTTCACCATGTTAGCCAGGATGGTCTCCATCTCCTGACCTCATGATCTGCCCACCTTGGCCTCTCAAAGTGCTGGAATTACAGGTGTGAGCCACCGCGCCCAGCCTCAGCCCACTTTTTGATGTAGTTGGTTGTTTCTTGCTGATTTCAGTTCTGACTCTCCAAGAATGCTGCCATGGGAAGTGGCCATTTCTGTGGTGATAGGAAAGGTGCCAAGCAACAACTGAGGCTCTCCGCCTTCACTGAGGAGCCAATGACAGCAGCCAGTGGAGACACAACAACAGCAACCGGGGCAGAAGCAAGGAAAACAGTGAACACAGGGCAACAGCCAGTCCCTGGAGCAGTAATGGCATGCCTTTTGTTAAAGATTCCTGGAATTATTTGTAGATTTTCTACAAAGCAAGAGTTGACAAATACGTCAAAATTCTGCCTGGAGGCTATTATCCTGACACTATTTTTGATCCAGGGTTTTGCAGCTGAAAAACGCTGGTTTATTTTCCTCGGGGTAGATACCTAGTATTGCTAAGGATTGCTAGATCAAATGGTAGATCTACTTTAGTTATTTAAGGAACCTCCACACTGTTTTCCATCGTGGTTGTTCTAGTTTACACTGCCACCAACATTGTAAAAGTGTTTCCTTTTCACCACATCCACACCAACATCTATTTTTTTTTTATTTTTTGATTATGGCCATTCTTGCAGGAGTGAAGTAGTACTGCATTGTGCTTTTGATTTGCATTTCCCTGATAATTAAAGATGATGAGGATTTTTTCATATGCTTTTTGGCCATTTGTATATCTTTTCTTGAGAACTGTCTATTCATGTCCTCAGCCCACATTTTTTTTGTTGTTTTTTTGTTTGTTTGTTTGTTTTGAGACAGTCTCTTCTGCCTCAGCCTCCTGAGTAGCTGGGACTACAGGTGCGCACCACTACGCCCAGCTAATTTTCGTATTTTTAGTAGAGACAGGGTTTCACCATATTGGCCAGGCTGGTCTCGAACTCCTGACCTCATGATCCGCCCACCTCAGCCTCCCAAAATGCTGGGATTACACATGTGAGCCACTGCATTTGCCTCTTCTTTTTTTTTTTTTTTTTTTTTAAAGAGGGTCTCGCTCTGCCACTCAGGCTGGGGTGCACTGGCATGATCATAGTTCACTATAGCCTTGAATGCCTGGGCTCAGTCTCCCAGGTCCCAGGTAGCTAGGACTACAGGTCTACAAATGCATACCACCACATCCAGCTAAGTTGGTTTCTTTTTTTTTTCCTTTTTTTTTTTTTTTTTTTTTTAGAGATGGGAGGATCTTGCTATGTTGACCAGGCTGGTCTTGAACTCCTGACCTCAAGCAATCCTCCTGTCTTATCATCCAAAGCGTTGAGATTACAGGTACGAGCCACCATGCCCAGTCCTTTCTTATTTTCTTACATTCGGTTTACCCTTTCCCAGTCAACCAGCTTAAAAATCTTAGTTGTCTTCTTACTTCTCATCCAACCAGTCAGCAAGCTAAAGAGATCTTTTTTTAATCATAATGTCTTCTACTTTTGGCACATGTTTTCTTTCCTCTCTAGCATCATCATATTTCAAGCACCAATCATTATGCAATTCATGCTATATCTACACTAATCAGTCTGTCACCTCCAACTTAGAAATGATTCCATTTCTTTCTAGTTATATGATCTTCAGCAAGTTACTTAACTTCATTATGCCACACATTACTAGGAAAATGGTGATGATTATTATTTAATTAATAATTAAATAATAATAGCCAATACCTACCAAGTACTTACCATGTGTCCTAGTCTAATAACAATAGCCAGATACATTAAGTGCTTACCATGTGCAAGACACTGTTTAAGGGCTTTACAAATATAGTTGACCCTTGAACAACACAGGTTTGAACTGCATGGTTCCACTAATACACAGATTTTTTTCAATAAAAGTTACACTGAGTGTGCCTGCCTCTCCTGCTTCCCTTTCCACCTCTTCCACATCTGCCACCCCTGAGACATAAGACCAACTCCTCTTCTTTCTCCTCCTCCTCAGCCTACTCAATATGAAGACAGTGAGGATGAAGTCCTTTATGATGATCCTCTTCCACTTAAGAAATAGAAATCTTCTTCTCTTTCTTATGATGTTCTTAATAACATTTTATTTTCTCTATCTTACTTTATTGTAAAAATATAGTATATAATACATATAGCATATAAAAATATGTGTTAATCTCAACTGTTTATGTTAACAGGAAAGCTTCTGGTCAAAAGTAGACTATTAGTAGTTAAGCTGTGGGGTGTGGGGCAGTCAAAAGTTACATACAAATGTTTGACTGCATGGGAGTTGGGTCCCTCACCCCGTCATTGTTCAAGAGTGGACTACACTACCTTACTTGGTAAGATCATTCATTTAAAGTGCTTATGGTAGTTCTTGGCCCATAGGTGACCTCTCAATAACTTCTATTATTGATATTACTACATCACAATTTTAATTTTAGGCAGGTCTGTACTCTCTACCCCCAGGATCCTCCTCTGTCTCTATCCCTAGTGAGGAACAGAGTCGATATGGTAGCATAAGTCCAAAGGGTTTACTGAGCCATGGTGCTAGGGAACAGAGCTTTTGTCATCACAACAGTAGGTTAGATTATTAAAAGTTGAGCTTCCACAAGGGTACACTCTCTATTTCATTCATATTTCTCACTCAAATTCTCTATCTCCCTCTTCCTCTCTGTCTTTGACCTCAGTATCCACAGGTCCTCTTCCCTCATTTCTTTGTATTCTTCTTCCTATATAACTGACACAGTAAAGGTGACCTGGAGGGAAACTATCTGGACTCTGGACCATAAAGAGAAAATCTCCGTATTGTACTTTCACTGCATTTGGTTTTTCTTTTTTTTTTCTTGCCATAATAGTGAAGGAACAAAAGGTGATTTAATTATTTCCGACTGTTCTTCTTGGTCTCTTTTACTGGTGGTTTTTTTTTTTTTTTTTTTTTTTTTTTTGAAGTTTGTGACTGTAACTCGTAAGATCAAAAATCCCAAGTTCACCATCACATCCTATGATTATTTCTATCATAATATTTAAATGTGCATTATAATCGTTCCCTTATCTCTCTTTCTAAGAGTCTATAAGCTCTTATTTTTTTAAGTTTTTAGACTTATTTTTTATGCCTATATTTTTGAGATCGGGCACTTTGCAGGTAATTAACACATTTTAGTGGAAAGAATTTTAAAAATCAATTGGTGGAATTTCCAAAGATTTTCCAAATTAACAAGGTCAAAACAAAGATCCTATTCCAGCCTACTCCAGCCCCGAAATACACTTCCCCTCCTTATTTAACAGTAGTACCATTTACCCTATCCCCCATACTGGAAGACTCGTAAGTCAGGTCCAGTTTCTAACCCACTCTTTGAATGCTTCATCATCAGACTTCCCCTCTGTCAAGAATGTTTTTTCTCCACTTGGAAACTTCTAGTCATTTGTCAAAGTCCTTATCTGATGGGGACTCCTCTGTAAAGCCTTTAAAAAATATAAAAATATAAAACATGCTGCAGTTCCCTTAAGGAAATTGGAAAATTACATCTTGGTGTTCCAACACTGGAGATAGAAAAGTCTCCATTGACCCAAATTTTAACTTCATCTTTCCCTTATAGAATCACTCAAATGCCCAACTTTTCTAATTGTAATTGTTAGAACCAAAAGGTAAAGCATTATAAACAAAAGATTTATGCAAGGGAAGAAAACAGAAGGAAGCATGTCTAACCTCCAACAGTGAAATACTAGAATCAACAGTCAACACCTGAATGACATTGGTTGATTTTACGAAGGAAGCAACAGAGTTTTCCTTTACCTTTTCTTTCCTCCACAGGTTTAAATTAGCTACTCCCTCATGTGCGTTCCCATAGCAATGCAGGTACTTAATAGGTATCTGCCTACAGGTAGGACTCTTTTCACTCAGGTCTAAGTTTCTCAACTGCTGAAACCATGTCTTAGCCATTTTTGTACACCTAATCCCAGAACAGTGGTTGGAAAATAATATTTCTATAAAGTCTAAAAGATTAAAGGTTTTTAAAAGCTATTTAAATCAGACAGTTTCTAGAATATACATTATCTAAAT